CTTTATTATGACGTAATCGACTGCATGATTGCGGTAAATTCGTAAGGGTTTGTAGTGTGTTGGTTAGGAAGTATATTCCCTGTTTTGTGGTTTAGATGGCAAAATGGTCGAATATGGTAAGAGTTTCTGTACAATTAGGAAAGAAAGGGGAATAGAGTATTACTTGGCTGCTGTGTAAATTAGGTGTCTTGTTTGTAGGAAAGAAATGTGTATGGTTGAGCGTCGAAAACGCGTAGTTTGAATGTTGTTTTTGTGAATTCACTTGACAATGCCAGTATACATATTCTAGTTCAGATAATTTTAGGAAGTTTTTGGATGCTCTTAAGGAATTTTGTTTGACTGAAGACGTGTTAATTCGTAAAAATAATAAGTGGATATTTCCTTTGTGTAGTGCAAAGATGAATTTCCTTTTTTATGCTATACCATTTGATTTAAAATATAGTTTATTGAGATTATATATATATATATTTTGTTGACTGCTCCTTTGACTTGTTTAGTGAATATAGTTTGATGTGTACATGGACAAAGCCAAAGGAGTGCGTAAAGCCTAGTTTGTACAATTCTCCGATTTTTCTTAAGTGAAAATAAGTCAATGTGTACATGGTTAAAGTCAAGGTGTAAGGATTATGTTAATTTTATTAACAGTTAAATTTTAAGTACCTTTCCTGACAAATTCTTAACTTCAACTTCCCACTTCCGGCCAGAACGTAGTTTTGGAATCATTCCGAATACTTAATGAGGAGGAGCGGTATTTAAACCACAAAGTTACTTGCAGAGTTAGAGAGAACCAGAGCTTCTGATTTACGCACGTCTGCCTTTTGAGCTAACTCTCTCTCAAAGCTATTATTACGCTCGGCCGTACTCAAGCCCTTGATAAGCTTTGTAGTCAAATAGAGTTAAGGGGACAACTCGATCAGAATCTTGATAGATTCGGCTACATTTCTTTAGTTAATCTTAGTTTTAGTTTAATTTTTAGTCTCAAGTTCAAGCCCAAGTGTTGGCTTTGATTGTAAACTCCAAGACAGAGTTTTGTAAATCTAATTGGTATAATAAAGGGTTAGTTACCCTTCCATCTTGTTGTTTCTTGTTACATGAACTTAAACGATTATTTGCTAATTAGTTCTTAAGATTTGTCACTTTCTGATAACTAAGAAATATGCTAGTGACAATCTTACAAAGGGAGTATGCAATGCCATTTTTGTGCAATTCTGGGATTTTTTTTAAGTGAAAATAGGTCGATGTGCACATGGATGCAGAGTTTGTGCAGTTCTTTGTCTTGCAATTTTGGCTTTGTGTAGTGGAGATTTTTGGCGCAAAAATCGCTGCTACACAAGCTAAAATAAGGCAAAAAAATTGCACAAACTCAGTATCCACCTACTGCCAAAAAGTACATGTAAATATACTTTTATCAAAGCAAGTACTGCTACGCATACAAATTCCTTACTTAGTTTTATAAGACATAAAATACATTCAATCAAAGCTAATAATATTGTTTAAAGTTCTTTATCAGAAAGATAAAATAAAAAGTAAAACTGTAAAAAATTATAGATTCCACATCTACAAGTAATAGAATTATCCTTGTTTCACAACTTCAAAATTACATGATGCTGGAAAACAGGAGCAGGGGTTTGAAAAAGTTGAGAAGGAAAAAAAAAAGATTGGGGAGGGGGGGGGATAAGCAGAAAAAGTTTGGATCATTAGTGATCTGAAGGTAAGGAAGGACAACTGGCTCCAACACCTCAGAGATGTAGCGCTGGCTATTTAAAGTACCAGCAATGCATACTAGAAGAGTGCGAGAGTGGTATCCAATACCGCCCCATACCATAATACCTGTACCTACCCCATACCTAGGACCAGTGTGGTGGTGCATAACACATTTCTTCAGCATCCTCTCTCTACGGTGTCTCCAGACTATCTGACCATCGCGGTGTTGCAGACAGAAGCGTGACTCATCATTCTGCCGTCCACATCCTTCTTTTATTGCAACATTGGCAGCGGAGACGTCTGTGGTTCTGCATCAAGGGTAAACGATGCAATGGACGTCTTGCGGACAGACCACTCTGCTGTAAACGGGGTCGAATGGTATGCACAGACACTGGATGATGCGTTACAGACTGAATGTGCTGTGCTCTGATTCATGATGTGACCGAGCGATCCGTCACTGCCCTGCGCACAACGCTCCTGTCATCACGTGAAGTGGTGCACTGAGGTGGATGCGATCGAACACGTTGGTCTGTCGTACCCTCCTGCATCCAACGGTCACATATCTGCATTACAGTTGTTTGGTTTCGTCAAACATGATTATCGATATCCCTGAAAGATAATCCACACTCTCGTTAGGCCACTATCCTTCCTCTGTCGAACTTGGATACTTGATCAAACTATGATCGCTGTTTACTATGAGGCATAATTGATCTTTTCTTTTGAAAAAAACCATGAGAAAAACGCAATTGTCGAACTTGAAATCGTTGAAAACTCAAGCCTTAAATAGTGCTTTGAGGTGGCGCGCGTGATGTGCATCTGCACTGAAATTCTAATCATTTGCATATCTCACCTCCGCTAATGCATGTTATTTGCATGCTTCCTTCAGGGTGTTGCATTTACGGCGGCCAGCAGTGTAGCTTCTGTATATTTAAGATGAGAAAAATTATGTAATGCGATTTTATAAAAATACATAGGTATTTTTTTATTATTGGAACCAGATTCAGAAATGTATTGGGGTGTTCAGAAAGTAATTTCGTTTTTTCCCGTCAGAGGATATAATTACATTTTTTTGAAACCAACTTCACACTTAAGCCGCATAACCATTATATGTCTTGGAGCTGATATTACAAGGCTTGTGTGTAAAAGTTCTATTAATTCTACGCAGTAGTTTTTGGTTAGTGCCCTTTTAAATATGAAGAGGCAATAAGCAGCATTTTCGTCATATTTTACTTTTTACTTCAGAAAAGGTATAAATGCTGTCCAAGCGAGAAAAATTGAGGATTTATGGAGAAGGCATTTTAAACAGTACGCCAGTGCCAGTAATGGTTTGCAAAGTTTCGATCCGGCAATTTTGATGTCGAAGAAATGCACCACGGTCTGGAAGGCCGGGTTGAAGCTGACAAAGATGCGATAAAGGCATTAGTTGATGCAAATCGGCGAATAACCACATGAGAGATCGGTGAGGAGGTTAATTTTGTCAAATCGACTGTTTATGGCCCTTGAAAGGCAGGGCTTAACCTCGAAGCTCGATGTGTGGGTGCCCCATGTTCTTACGGAGCAAAATTTGTGTCGTCGCGTCGACGAGTGATTCGCTCCTCAAATGTCAGGAAAATGATCTATTTTTGAAGTGGATTATTACTGGGGATGAAAAATGGGTCGTATAAAACAATGTGAAACGCAAGAGGTCATGGAGCAGAAAAGATGAACCGGCTCAAAGCGTTTCAAAAGCCAACATTCACCAAAAAAAGGTGATGCTGTCCGTTTGGTGGGATTTCAAAGGAATCGTTTTTTTTTTAGCTTTCAGCTGGACAAATTGAATGATGCACTTACACAGAAGAAGCCAGAATCAACCAACAGGAAGGGTGTAGTGTTCCACCAGGATAATGCAAGACCTCATACATTTACAGCTTGAATGGGACATACTGCAACACCCACCATATTCTCCAGATCTGGCGCCTTCCGATATTATTTGTCCGGTCCCTGCAAAATTTTTTTGGATGGTAAAACTTTTACCTCAAATGAAGATGTCAAAAACCACCTGAATCGTTTTTTGCCAGCAAGGACCAAAACTTTTATGAGTGGGGAATCATGTTACTGCCAGAAAGATGGCAAAAATTGTTGGACCAGAATGGTCAATATATAATTTAATAAAATATTTATTCATTACACGAAAATTGTGTTTCCTGTTCCCCCCCAAAAAAACGAAATTACTTTCCGAACAACCCAATATATACATAGTGTATGCATGTACATATATGTACACAATGTATAGATGTACAAAGTGTATATACACATGCATATACTTTTTAAATCTGGTTTCAATATTAGAAAAGGCCAATATTTAAAATTTTTATATAGATATTTAATGAATTAAATTTATTTTTATTTAAACAGATCAGATTAAAAGTAAGTAAAAGGATAATATTTTTAAGAACTGTATCTATTTCTTTTAAATAGTTTAATTTTTTAATTAATAACAGACAGATTAAATATGAAAGAATAATATCTTACATTTTTTCAAACAGTAACAGACTCAAATGAAAACTGAAACACAAAATTGTATTTTGAGACTAATAACCCTTTTGGACTAAAATGCAATAGAGTGCAATTATATTACATCTGTGTTGAAAATTATTACATGTTTCCTAGAAGTGAAGAACTCTAATGAACCAGTTTTAGGTTTGTAGTCTTTTTTTACCATTTCAATGCTCAATTAGTATTAAAACATATCTTGTGGCTATTTTAACACTTTCAATATGTATGATTCCAAGATTCCAACTCTCGTGGAAATACGTTTGGATTAAGACAAAAATACCAGTTCACAGTCTAAGGTTGTTGAAAATAATGGGCTTGTCCACATTTTGGCTACAGACCAGGCAAAAACGAACAGTTTATACATTTTCTTTGTTGAAACAAAATATTTTACAAATGAGTTTCATTCGAGTAACAATCAAAATTATCTGATAAAATCTCAAGAGAAAAAAATTACCATTAGCTACTTATAAATGTTTCCAACTGATAACACTAATGAGGAAGCTGTCATTGAACGAATACAATGCTAATGAACAATATTGATTATAGGTCTTTAATGAAATAGTTGGCATTGTTGAGTGAGACGAAATTTATATTTAAAAAAACGTTGCTAATATTTTCATGATATGGAAAACGAAACCAATAAGAATTAATAATAAGAACTGTTTAAAGAATTTTTTTTTTTTTTTTTTTTTTTTTTACTGTGAGGAAACAGGGAACACATATAATTTTCTATAAAGATAATGCAAGTAAAAGTTACTAACTACTAATGGCTGTGAATACATCATTGGCTGAGTAACATATTGAGGCGGCGGAGTAGGAACCAAACCAAAAGTATTTGGCATGACAGGGAACACAGGTGGGCCTGTCGTACACACTGGTGGCATCATTTTGCTAGGTACAGCTTGGTGAGCATTCGGTGTGGGTGGTGGAGCACCAAACGGCTGCCTGTATAAAATCCAAAATAAGAGTCTCAAATACAAAGTTACGAAAATGAATGTCAGAAACATGAATATAAAATACAAACTGTGATTTATGATGACACTATAATAAAATGTACACGTCAGAAATATCACGCGTTAAAAACTAATGAAATAAGCTTTCCGTATCATTTCAAGGAAATAAGCTGGGAAATTCTCAAATTAAACTAAGTACTGCATTACTGACCTAAAAGGTAACGACATATAAACACGGCAAACTTTGGTGTTGAACAAATACAAAACCGGAAGTCACGTGATACGGATTTGGGGGAAATATCAGTTCTTATTTTCAGTTTTGTCTGATTTGTTTTTGTACTACAGCAAATGCAGCTCTAGATTATATGATTTCAACTAAACTTAATTGATATAACTTAATAACAGAACAAATTTTCAGAGTCAAATAATAAAGAAATTTATTTTCTATAATCCGTTTTATTTTATCTCTTAATTTCTAAAAATATTTCTAAAACTACTAAACAGCAGGTATAATATAGTACATTATAAATTTTTACATTATACTGTATTTTATTAGAAATTAAAATAAAAGTCTTTAGAAAAATCTTATCTGTATAAGTATTTTTATTTTTAACTTTGATTTGCTGTTTACTTTTACTTCGATCAACAAAGACAAACATTCGGAATGATAGTAATTTCAAATATATTTTAATTGTACTTGTTATTGTAATCGTGTTTATCAGTAGTATTTACCTTTAAAGCCAGTTTTCTATCGTAAGTATTATTTATTTGCATTATTTGAATTAATGTATACGTCTGAGCGAGCATGAGGGAACGTTGTCCGTGTGTATTTGCTATTTGATTGGTAAAAAACGTCTAGAAAAATGATAAATTTCTTCTTCTTCTTTTTTTTTTTTTTTTAGAAATCCAGCACGAGTCAAAGAGCACATGTATTACATTAGTAAGACTTAATGTAGTATAATGACTTATGTGTAATTAAGTCTGCAGTAAGGAATAAAGTACTGCTACTATAAGTGGCGTATTAGAAATCTTGGGCCTACATGCAAAGAAAAATTTTCTTGCTGCCGTCCTTATGATTTAAAAAAATGTAAAAGCACGGGGCGAAAGGTCCCAGGCACCGAATTTTTTAAAATAATGCTGGCTTTTATCAGGGATTGATTAATTATTAAACAACATAAGCACGTTTTTAGGATAGTACAGTGGGTAACATATGGCAGAACTTTTTTGTTGCAGAAATTATATTGTGTCACCCTCTTTTTTTTTTTTTTTTTTTTGGTTACCAAAAGAAAGTTAAATTTAGAGCTGGGTCTTGGCCTGAGCTTAGGGCATCAGATGATCATCAAACATTTTTTTGGAATCAATTTTTTTTGCGAGATTTTCCTTTTATCGGGGTTTATATCGGTGATGTTGTGTGAAAATAGAAATGGAGGTAGTACAACCTACACAGGCTATGATTTTATATAAACTGTATTTTGATTGATTTTTTGTTTTATTTTTGCGGACCATATATTTTAAATGGTGCCAGGATTATTGGTAAATCACCAATGCGAGTTTTAGATGGCTGGCAGTTTTACTGAAAATTACTTATAAGTTGCTTGTGAAGAGTCCGAATAAACAACATTTAATCTTTTCTTTTTTCTCTTTCATGTAAATGTTAACAATTCACGATCACTCATAATTTTGTCTTCACAAGAAGAGTTTTAAATATTTCATGTGTTAACGTGTTTACTTTAAAAAAAATGCTTGATCTACCCAGAAGCGAGGAACATGTTATATGTTACTAAAAAAGATGCATTGAACCTCTCATTGGAATATGTGAATATAGCCATCCCTAGAAACCGAATAGTACCGCCTTCTCTTTGAAAATATTCTCGGTGAAGTGCAGAATCGCTCACTTATTTGTTTGCCGCTTTTTACAAGGGTAAAAACAATTGGGTTTTTGTCAATTTTCTTTTACTTTTTAAGTGAAAATAGGTCGATGTGTACATAGATAAAGTCAAGGGTGTGTGCAGTGCCGTTTTTGTGCAATTCTAGGATTTTTTTTAAAGTGAAAATAGGTCGATGTGCACATGGATACTGAATATGTGCAATTCTTAAAAGCATGTCAAGCAGTGGGTGATTCTGCACTTTACCCAAAATTCTATTGCCCAGTTTTCGTCATGGGCAATTCCCAAATTGTTAAATCCATAGGATATCAAAAAAGGATTTAAAAATTAAATAAGTATTTCAATGGCATCTTAAGAAATATAGAACTATATAAACTTACACAATCTGAAATCAGCGGGTATGCTAGATTTGGTTTGCTTTTAAATGGGCGCATTTGCTAGATTTGACGCTTTTGCGCATACATTTTCGCTGCAATTTTTTTACGGCCCTCGAAACCGAATAGTATCTTATGTGAAAATAGCCATTAAATGAAACTATATATCAATAAAAGCATTTGAAGATGCAGTGGGAAAAACATATGTTTTGACAGCTAGTTCAGTGGTTTCAGAATACTGTGTGTATTCATGGCAAATTATTTACTGTTGAGAAGTTGAGTGAGAAGTTGAGTAAATGATGAAGCAATTTGATTTTACAAGAATATGACTATGAACTAGAACAGCTTTATGAGAGAGGTGTATTTTCTGCATTTAATCTGAGAACCAAAGATGTTGACAAAATTCTTCCACAATACTGGATATTTGATGCATTATGCTGTGAGTCAGCTATGTACAAGAGAGGTTGACAATTTATTTAGATTATCAGGAAGCATTTAAAACAGCGGCTAATCTTTGGAATATGGTAACAAGTAGTTTGTCGACATTTTGGTAAGGCGATAAAGTTTACTAGCTAAGACTTCAGCAGTGTACATGGATGAAGTCAAGAGTGTTCACAATGCCATTTTGTGGAATTCTAGGATTTTTTTTTTTTTTTTTAAGTGAAAATAGGTTGTCGTGTATGTGCAATTCTTAAAAACGCAGCAAGCAGTGGGCGATTCTGCACTTTCTCGCAATTTCGCACCTAATCTTCGTCATAATTAAGCACTTTTGTTCCATAAAAGTTCTAGCATAAGCGTAATTCAGCTAGCAGATTGTTGAAAAAAAATTTTGAGTAAAAAAAAAAAAAAAAAAATTTCCTTTACTTCATGAAAACAAAATGACGTCTAAAAAAACACTAGCAGGTTGCTGTAGCAGGGTTGGTCGCCAAATGCCAAATTTTTGCCAAAAAATCACCAAGTTACCATAATCCGAAGATTATAACCAAAACAGCTGTAGGAAAAAAAAAGGAACAGGCACTGAAAAGTTAGGAAACGGAAAATAAGTTACCATTCTTTTGCAATGAGAAAAATAAGGGATATTTAGAAATACTGCCAAGCTGGGAGTTAAAATTTTTATCATAACAACCATTACTTCGGAGTAGGGAAACTTCTGATGATTGTAAGAAGATAAGCAAGCTGCTAGCCTGTCCGATGGTAAAAATGGAGGGTTAACCAGAGGGTCATTGCCAGACCATCAGTAATTGCTCCGCTCGCACCCCATGTAGTTATAGTCTGAAGCTGTGGTTCAGTGAAACATTGATTGTTGCATAATTGAATAAGATTTTACCTGAGCATTAAAAGCAGTATTATAATAAACCATCGTAGATGCAAGTTAAAGTCATGGTTTGCAATAAGAATATTACTTAATTTTTAACTAAATAAGCGTGGCATTTTTTTTTTTTTCTTTCTGATTTGATTTTAATAAAAATAACGTACTTGCACAGGAAACAGTTGTTTAATTTTGCATTTAAGTCGGAATAGAAAAACAAGAAAATTAAAGTTATTAAACATTAAGAGATTTATTTCAAAATTATTAAATTTTAAAATCTAACTAAAATAGATCCTATGGCCACAAGATTTGGATTTAAACATTTAATATACAATGAACGCTCTTGTTTTTCATTACATATTAAATGTTTAAATCCAAATCTTCCAAAAGTGACCAGTAAAACACTTGTACTGAGCATTATCTCTCAAAGACCTCTACCGATGACCAAAATAATTAGAAGTATGAATAATTGTCTTAGAGAGGATTTAATATATTTTACAATGCACCAGTGCATGATCCACCCAGATCTGGACCAACTACAGTCAAAAGTCATTAATTCGGACACCCATAATCCGGACCTCAAAGCTACAAACTTTCTGCGCATGCGTCGCGTTTACGCATGCGCACAGGTGTTTAAGAGTGCGCGTAAGACCTTTACGGCTGCGAATATGTTTGTGCGCATGCGCGTTTAACGTTTAATGTTTAGGTATAAGCTAAGCTAAAATTATCTAATTCAGTTAATGTTGAAGATTGCGTTGTTCCTTAATCTTCAAATTGGATCCGGCTTATTATTTTTTGCAGACTGTTAGAGCAATTTTATAAAAGTAAGCTTGAACTTTCGATTATGTCAAATAGAATTTCCGATATATATTTACTAATATGTAATTTGTATCTGCAAAGCGAAAGTATGTTTTGAAATCCAAAATCTGTTTTATCAATTTCACGCCGCCAATTGGAAGTTGATCTGTCAGCACTATCCTTATCTTCAGGGCAGATGTTTTTATTTTATTTGGCTTATAATTCCTTACTAAGTGTAGTATTTCATCTCGATGTACTCCGTCTTTGATATGATTTAAATCAAGTTCCTCGTCATTATAATTCGCTTCCGATAGTGAAGAAAGTTATCCAGAGATTATTGAAAACGAAAACATTTCGATTGACAAATTAGTCGGTATTCTCAACACAGCAATTATAGGACTTGAACGGCGGAACTTTGTAACTAAACAAGAAATTATGTCCGTGTAATAGAATTAAAGGGAAAGTTTATCACATGAAATGAAGCAACTTACATTGAAAGAAATGCTTAATAAAGTAAACTTTATTTAGTATTAAGCTTTTTCTTTTTGTAAATTTTGATACCCTTTAGATCATAATTGTTCTTTATTTCATAAATTATGGTTTCATATTTTTAATTTTGTAATTTCTGCATGCCATCTTACCAGATTTAAACTGATGATCTATAATCCAGAAAAATCGATAATCCGGAATCGCCGAAGCCCCGATGAGCCCAGATTAACGACTTTTGACTGTACTAAAGGCCAGTTTACATCTGTCAAAGCAGCTTCGAACCGAGTGAACGGACCTGTACTCTGATAGACTGTTTACACCAATCAGAGTGGACTGACAACTCGCCTCCGTTTGTGTATGAAATGGATACAGAAGTGGCAGCTGCAGGAAAGAATATGCATTGAACATACACAGATGTTCTTTGGCTGCAGTGCTTGAAGTCTGAGAAGCAGTTTCAAACGAATTAATTTCTGCTCTTGGGAGGGGAAAAAAAAAAGGAGAAAAGGAAATGGGTACGTGACTGGGTAGCTTGCCGCGTTGAATTAGGAGTCACAAATGAACTATTAAATGAATTTCGGACGAGAATGTCCAAAGTTACAAAAACATTATTGCATATCAGATACAAGAATTTAAAAGAAACTCAGTTTGAGTGCAGTTATTTAGTCAACTGTGGTTGTTGAAATTCAAATTAACAAAGTTTTTCTACTATATACAACTGTTTATTTACACCTAATTAATCATTTACAAAATAATGTAAAAGTAATAATGTGTTTTATTATTTATTAATAGAAAGAATATATTTATTCATCTAGAATCCACAGAATCAGTAGCTCTCTGTGCATGTAATTAATTATGCAGAGTTCTGACTGGAACTGTGTTATTTCTAGAGAAGAATGC